TGGCGGCGAACACTCCTCCCCCCACCTCCACCACAGCATTGAGCCCCAGCAGGCCTGCCAAACTCACCTTTCCTCTTGGTACAGTGGTAAATTTGGCTGTGCTCCTGGCCCAGTGGGTATGGGTTAGGCGGGGGCAGAAGGTCCTGGGAGGGGCCGGAGACACCATTCTCACACTGGTACTGCGACCCTAAATTGGACGAAGTGGAGAGAGCTCGGGTCTCACTGCTGAAGGGGCTGTGATTCGAGGCCACTTTGTGCCTCACGGTGCTTCTGGGAACCACAGGATACTCTTTACTGAAAGGAAGAAGACAAAGAGAAAAACATGTTCACCAGTGCTTGAGGTAACTTCACCTCCTTGCTGAGCCTTGAATCCACCAGAAAAGTCAAAAAAATAAGAAACTGGGTTGGGGTGGGGGGCGTCTTTAATGATCCAGAGGCCAGTGCCTCCTGGCATCCCAGGCCTATATATGAATATATGTTCAGCACTCACTTCTCATGTCTTGTACGTCAGGTGACTAGGTCTGAAAACAGACTTATTAACACTCAGAAAAGCAAGGGCACCTCAGAATCCCTTTCCACCACAGCCAAATATGTAACTACTTCCCTCCATCCGCATATCTTTGAACTATCCAAGTCAAAAAGCACTGCCTAATTGTTTAGACTTAACCTCTGAATGTTCTTTTTAAAGGCTGTATCTTTGCCCAAGTAGAGCAGACCTCCCTGGACAGTCAGGTATAGCCTTAGGTCATCCTAATCCAGACCGATCCCTGATTGTAACTTCCACTTCCTTTGAAGTTTGATGTCTTTGTCATGCTGCCGTATCTAAGGACTCTATGGCTTGGTTTCTCCCTTCTGTAAGTTGAAGGAAATAAACATCTCTAGCTCATGGGCAGGCAAGATAGCTTAGTGGATAAAGGAGCTTGCTGCACAAACATAGAGACCTGAGTTCAATCCCTGGAACCCAGGTAAAGGTGAGAGGAGAGAACCGACTCCACAAACCTAGTGCTGGCCTGACATTCACGTGTACATTATGGTACAGGCATACCCCACATAGATATCACATTCATCACGCACAGTCACACATACACACCATCATCATAATAACAAGAACAGCAATGAAGGAATTCTCAGGGGCTGGAGAGATGGCTCAGTAGTTAAGTTTGGTTCCCAGCACCGACATCACAACCAATGATAACTCCAGCTCCTGGGGAAGCCGACACCCTCTTGTGGAGTTTGTAAGTATCTGCGTTCGTGTGCACACAATCCCCTTCCCCACGCATACACATAATTAAAAATAAAATTTAAAAATTAAATAATTTTCAAGAGACTATAATGCTGAGAGAGCGAATGAGATTGACAGAAGCCCGTGGTCCTTGCTTCTGCTATTGTGTTAACTAGGGAGAAGAGAGACAGGGAAAGGGGGTGAGAGGGGGGCGGGGAGGGGAAGGGAGGATTAAAAAAAAGATGGAAGCCATGGAACCAGATGAGGCAGAACTAAATGTATCACTCACACAGCCTGCTGAGCCTCTTTCCTTCTGGGTTCTCAGAATCTGGTCCCTTCAAAGCTGAGGCTGTAACTTGGCAAACCAGTATTTGCCTAGTTAGCATGAAATCCAGCATTCGATCCCCAGTGCCAAATAAGCCTGGCACAATGGATCACACGTCTAATCCCAACACTTGGGAGGCAGAGGTAGGAGGATTAGGAGTCCAAAATAATAATAACTACAATGATAATAATTTGATAATCATTTCAACACTATTAGTCTCCTGTCTAGAGTACATGTTTTGTGAATTTTAATTACAGTATTCTGAGGAAGGTATAGGTTTCGACACTCAGCCAGAGACCCCTGGCACTACACGGGCTAGGAACATATTCTGACCCAAGGCACATACAGACCAGGAAATTCAAAATGTCAGAGTTTGTTTACATATTGTTTATTTATTTAGTCATGATCTGGAATCGAATGTCTTTTCAGGCATTTTTTTTTAATGGTGCTTTTTGATCCAAATAGGTTTAGTCTCACGATGAGCAATCATATGTGATCGGCAATGTGCCTGAGGTAAACTCAGCTCCCCTCGTGCAGCTGAAGCAAATGTTTACTTGTGGAAATTAAAACGTGCAAACTGGGACTAGAGGTGTAGCTCCGAAGTAGAGCACTCACCTAGCATGCAGGAGGCTCTTTTGGTTCAGTTTCCAGCACTGAGAGAGAGAGAGACAGACAGGCAGAGAGAGAGAGAGAGAGAGAGAGAGAGAGAGATAGATATTGATAGAGAGAGAGGGAGAGAGATAGATGATAGATACATAGATACATAGATACATAGATAGATACATAGAAAGATACATAGATACATAGATACATAGATAGATAGATACATAGATACATAGATAGATACATAGATACATAGAAAGATAGATAGATAGATAGATAGATAGATACATACATACATACATACATACATACATAGATACATAGATAGATACATAGATAGATAGATACATACATACATACATACATACATAGATACATACATAGATAGATACATAGATAGATAGACAGATACATAGATAGATAGATACATAGGTAGATACATAGATAGATACATAGATAGATACATAGACACATAGAAACATAGATGCATAGGTGTTGATGTGGCTCAGTAGCAGAGTACTTGCCTGGCAAGTTTAAGGATCTGGGTTCAATTCCCAGCACCCCAATTTGATAATTAGCTAATTAATGACAGGCTATGGGTATAGCTCAGTAGTAGAGTATTCTGTGGGACATACAAGGCCCTGGGTTTTAATACCTAAATGCCAATAAAATAAAATAAAATAAAATAAAATAAAATAATAAAATAAAAAGCATAGACTACACAAATCCCATACACACTGCCACCAGCAAGAGCCCGTGGTACCCTTCCCAAGATGCTGTGATGAAAGTATGATTTCTGTGCCCATTTTACAGATTAGGAAACTGAATCCCAGAGATTAGACAACTTGCCCAAAGACCCAGAACTAGTAAGATGCAACCAGAAAGAATTCTAACCCACCTATTCTGTAAACACTCCTTTCAATGTCTAAAGCAGAGGCCTGGAATCAAGATTCCTTTTCTATACACCAGGGGTATACCCTCCTCTACTCTCTTAATCTGCCTCTGTTACAAGGAAACACATCATGATGGCCAGGGATGGGACACCAGGAGCTGCCAAGTTTCTGTGACATTCATACCTACCACTCCTGACACCCAAGAGTCTCTTAGCTATGCTTCCCCTGGGGGGCCTCTGCTATCTCGGATCCCACCTGGGATGTGCACCACAAGGCCACCAGTCAGCCAGGAGGCTAAGCGAAATGCAATTAGCTTAAGAGTGCTGGCTTTGTGGTTCAAACCATGTAATGGAAAAAAAAAAGAGAGAGAGAGAAAAAAATAAAAGAAAAAGCGCAATAATAAAACGGTACCAAAGCCATCAAATCTCACCGGCAATTCAGCCCTAGTCTGCTGAGGTCAAGTGCTGGGTTGTCAGCACTCCAGGAGGAAGGGAGAAATCGTTTGGGGTTTTATATGTTTAACAGTGATGGTTATTTCTTTTAATTAAAGAAAATAAGCCTCCAAAAATATTGGCTGAGGGAATTTACAAGGGAGCGTACCAGCATGCTCCGTGGAATTCTCCCATCCAGCCTTGCCAAACTGCAGAATTACTCACCCCAAGAAAGGCCAAACCCTGTTTTATAAACACTTCCAGAAGTGGAAAAGTGATATTATCCCCAGTAACCACATGTCCCTCACAGCTTGTTTTGCTCTAAGGAGCTTCAAACATCAGCCCCAGCATGTATCAGGAACATCTTGCTTAGTGCCTGAGATTCTGTGTCCTGAGGCCATCTGACAGGTGTCAGGCTGTGGGCACGGGAAGGCGATGTGCCTTCTCCATCCAGTGAGATGAGAGAGACACAGGGAAGGAAATGTCTGAAGTACACCACAGCAGGGTGGTCCCTATTGAGCTCCTTGTGGATTAATCAAAGGATGAATCAGTCAGAGGGGCTGTTAGCATCTCCCTGATGGCATCATCGTGGTGCCTTGGATGGGAAGGTGGGTTGTTTTCTTCTAAAGCTTAAAAATGTCCATGAAGAAACCGGAGCATTGCAGAATTACAGCAGAAGTTGAAAAGGGGTGTGTGTGTATCTGTATGTGTCTGTCTATGTGTTTGTGTGTCTGTATGTGTGCATCTGTCTATCTACATGTTTGTGCGTATGTGTGTCTATGTCTGTCTATGTGTTTGTGTGTCTGTATGTGTGCATCTGTCTATCTACATGTTTGTGCGTATGTGTGTCTATGTCTGTCTATGTGTTTGTGTGTATGTGTGTCTGTAGGTCTGTCTCTCTTTGTGTGTGTGTGTGTGTATCTGTGTGTGTCTGTTTCTGTCTGTCTGTCTGTCTCTCTCTCTTTGTGTATGTCTGTCTCTGTGTGTGTCTGTCTCTGTATTTCTCTCTCTCTCTCTCTCTGTGTGTGTATGTGTGTGTGTGTGTGTGTGCGCCATGGAGGACAGGTTTTCAACATAATTACCATCATCACTATAATAATCACCACCAGCAGCACCACTACTGTCAACATCAGCACCACCATCTTCATCATCCACCACCATAACCACCTTCATCACCAGCATCGATACCATACCCATCATCATCACCTCCACAATCTGTGGTCCAGCCACTGTGCTGACTGCCTTCAATGCCTTCCCTCTTTTGAGCCTGGGTCATTCCTCATTTCATGCGAATATTTAAGAATTACCATACAGATAAGAAAATTCAGGGTCAGAGGGGCTGGGCTGAAAAGAGACAACTGTGGGTGTTATTGAAAGTCCACTCTTGCTCCTAAACTCTTGCGGAGAAACTTGGAGGTGGTGATGCCTGCAGGCTCCACCTGCACCTTTCGATAAAGCAGCTAACAACGACGACAGAGTTGGGAACCCGCTACAAGAAGGCAAGGTCCGGGTCACTGGACAAGATGCACTGCTCACAACAGCCTGCTGCTTTTACGTCTGTCTGTCTGTCTGTCCACCATTTCCATCCCTCATCCCACCGACCAGCCTGATCCGAGACACCAGACACAAGCCAGATCTTGAGTTCCTCTGCTCTCCCTGGGTGCCATAACCCACTAACCAGACCCTCCGTGACTCAGGCTCCCCAAGCGGGGAGTGTACTGAATGACGCCATTGTCCACGGCTCTGGGTTGTAAAACGTTACAAGGGAATATTGAAACCGAGGGCCAAACTGCACCATCGGCCTCCGCCAGCTAATGAAT